TCACTGCGGGTTTGTCCACCATTTCTGTACAGTCAGTGGTTTACAGTCATTGTGCTAAGATAGCCTAATCCTGTCCTGACCTTTCTGTTGTGGACACACTGAGATGAAACTGCATAAAAACTGTGGCGGACACAGAACAAGAGGATTTACTAATGTTTGAAATAAAGCCGTTAATGTGATGTGATCTGTGTGCCCAAACCAAGTTCAGAAAAACCTTATCTTATAAATTTGTTTTTTTGTTGTTGTTTTTTTCTCCACGCTGAACTAGGCTCAAACTGGTTGAATTCAGAAGCATCAGAGTTTGGATCTGGAGGATGTTTTTATTCATCTGCAGTTTTAGACTCTGAGAAACAGGCTGAATGAACCGTCTGATCTCAGATCAGTGTACAATAAAATGAGCTTTGATGGACAATTTGATGTTTCTGCCAATGATCTGAGTTTTACATGGAATATTTGACAACAGTTTATGATAAAATCCAGCCCAAATCAGAATAACAAAGCTCAAAGTCACGCATCTCCCATCATGTCACCAAAAGTAACGCAGCTCTTGAGAATCAGGTCATTGGATGGAAAATTTATATGATTTAGAGAAAAAGTTTAATGATTTGATTTTAAAAAGTTATTAATAATAGTAATATTTCTGGAAAATGGCTGAAAAAAAATCTAAGTTTGGCAGAGATGTAATGATGTATTTCTATAAAAAAAATAATAGTTATGGTAAAAGTACACTATTTCAGGAAACGTTTGGAGGAAAAAAAAAAAAAACAATTTTTTTTAGGATAACCTTTCTAAAAAAAAGGTCCAAAATATTTCCAGAATAATGCCATAATATTAAAATAGTTGACCAGAAAAAAGTATCAGTCGCCTATTTTGGACAATTTGTGGACATTTTATTCATGAAAAACAAAGTTGTAATATGGCTGGAAAAAATTTTGTGTGTCAAGAAAAACAGACCAATCAGATCACTGGACGTCAGAAATGGTCCATCGGAGTCTCAGAGTCGGAGTGAGGTCTGTGTTTACCCTCTCAGGTCCGGAACGATCCAAAACCCAGAAACAAAGGTCCCGTGAAGAACTAAAATGGTCACACTGTAATTTTTGTTGACCGCAATGAGTAACAGGTAACACCGTTAATAAAACCAATATGATGAAATTGCACAGAGTCCTGGTGTGACCCTGTCCTGGACGTGCCCGGCCAAACACTAGGCCAACCGCAGAGGGTGTGTTCAAGTGTGACCAATGAACCAGAAAGCTTACAGGTGTCTGTCTGCGATGGCAGAATCCAGTAGAGGCTGTTTGTAGGAGAAAGACGTGTAGCACCTTAAGAGAAGTTTTTTCTATTTCTGAATCTATTTTAGGGCTTTATATAAAAGACAGGAGCTTCCTGTTTATATGCAAGTGTCTGAACGATCGAGTTTTTAAGCTGAAAGCTATTAGCATCAAACTGTTTAGACCAGAAGCATGTGGGTTTGTCGCCAATGCAAAGATTTCATGTTTGTTGTAAACAGAAACGATTCTCTTTGAAATGCCAATAAAAACTGTTATTCACTAAAGAGAATGAGGACTCTGAGTGAAAGTCCTTAAATGTCGAACAGTTCACACCTTGTTTTGTTCACAAGCTAACCTGAAGCTTCAGAACAGTACGAGGATCCGTTTCAGTTCAACGTTTCCTTCCCTCTGCCCTGTTTCTGTCGGTCCACATCTGTCCTCACTATTTTCATAAGAAGGTTCACTCGGCAGATTTCCACTGTTTTCACAGGTTTTAATTTATGCAGATTCATGCTGTAAAAATAACATCTGCACATTACTAGTAAATTATGAAGCGGTGTCAATCAGATTCAAAACAAGATGCAAAATGACCACATATATAAACCACACAGCACCAGCACATCCAGCAAACACAGCAACTGTTCAGCAATATGAGAAGCACAGAGGTGAGGCCCTTTGACAGATTCTGATCAAATACAGCGAGGATCTGCAGAATCCACCATGTTTTTGCTACAGAGAGCTTGCACACCTGAACCCAGAGCAGGTGCTCACTGGACCTCTGCTGGTGCAACACATGAAGAAACTAAACCTCAGGCTGGTGTGGTCCATGTCCAGGATGTTTTATTAGTTCACCTCCACAATCATCTCTTGATAAGAAACAGACCCGTGGCAGCTGCAGAGAGGCTGAGGAGGCCATCAGTGGGACTGCCTGTGGGCTGGTTAGAACATCTGATCCTTCACAGCCATTATGCCGTTTCTGGAGGAGGAGGAGGGCGGAGCCTAGTGCCCCTCAGGTCTTCGTACTGACCTCCTGTTAGCTCCTCTTTCAGTGTCTGCAGAGGAGACACTGTTGACTCCTGCTCTGCTCCTCCCAGGAGACCATTTAACTTCGTGCCAGCCACCACACCTCCTCCTCACTGTAATACATTACAGCAGGATAAAAGAGGGGATCTCTGTCTCCACCTGCATCGATCTTTCACTTGAGACCAGTCACACCATCAGATCCTGACAGACTGACTGCACCCACCAGGAAAAGTGCAGCCAGACCCAAATCCACCTGATGAAACAAAGTAACAGGCCCAATCTCAATGTGCAGACTCAGACTCACGGCCTTTGAAATACGTTCCCACTAAATCAGACTGTTGCACTGTGAAATGATCCAGTGCATGAGGGCTCTCTCTCACTTCCATTGTCAACCCTTTATGCTCACTTTCCATAAGTCAGCATTACCCACGGTTCATAGCGCTGCGATGTGAAACACAAAGTTGCCTGGGAAAGCCCCGCAAGCGTCAACAACAAGGGAAACAAATGTAATAAAACGAATAAAGCAAAACAAAGACGAGGAACAGTAAGCAGGGGCGTGCAGAGAGTTTCTCAGGGGCAGGGGCTCAAATTGTTTTAAAAAAGGGGGCATCTATCAGCACAGAGCTAAGCTGGATTTTTCCAATATTATAATTATTAATAATAAATACATGCATCAATGCTTATCTCCCCGGTAGGCATTACAAACAGACAATTCATAATATGAATATGACACATACCGGAAGTTTATTTCTGACTTGATCTAGAATCCTTACTGTAGAGATGAATCCAATCTAATAGGGCCTTTCTGATATTAATACAAGACCCACTTCATAAAAATCTCCCTTATTAATTAAAGTAACATTCAAATTAATTGGTCTAAATATGACGGCCGAGCCTTTTTGCACCCTGTACTGTAAGTCTTAGATTTGCTCACCTGTTTACACAGAGAAACTGACTTTCGCTTCAATTTCTCTTCAGCTTTCTGCCGCCTCTCGTTGCCACATCTTCTTTTCTCCATTTTTCAGTGCTGGAAAAAGTAATGAGGTACATTTACTCAAGTGTTGCACTTAAGTACTAGGTTGAGGTATCTGTACCCTACTTGAGTATTTCCATTTTCTGCTACTTCATATTTCAGCTTTACTACATTTACAATGCAAATATTGTACTGCACTACATGTAGTTAAGTTACTTTAGTTACAGTATAATCATAAGACTTTATTAGTTCTCAGTAGGAAATTCACAAGCTAGCTGGCAGTAATTCAGATTATAAGCATATAGGGTAGTTAACAGTAGCTCCACCTTTATCGGCCTGCCTTACCTATGTAGGATGCAGGCTCTTCCAAAGGTAAGGCAGACTCTTCCATAGTTCAGGGGCCACATCAGCAAACACACGAACGTCCCAGTGTTTATATCTCACCTGTATGTCATCTGCTTATGTAAACCTCTTCAGTGCTTCTCCACCACTATGCTTTTTAACAGATGATATAAAATAGCTGTTTCCAAGACTCGCGTCTGCTGCACCGCACCAGGTTAGTAGGTAGCCTGGCTTAAGTCGAACCATTTTGATTTTAAGATAATTCAGCATTTAGGCACAGGAATTAACATGACAGTGGAAAAGCAATGAGCTTTGTTGGGTTACTTGTATTGGAGCCTTGGTGTCAGACGGTCATCACTATTGGTTAAGGAGGATGTGCTAGTAAGCTTCCAACTCGAAGAGGCATTTTCTGTGGTCCACTGCTTCAATGCCTGCTTTGTTGCCAAAAGACACGTGACTGATGAGATCTGAAGCAGAAACTGTTTTGGCCCCCTGAGTGAATCCTGTGACTGGTTCAAACAGTCCATACTGCTTCATAATGCGAGGCCTCGCTGTGCGCGTCAGCGGGTTCGTGGGTGTGTAAAAGCACTATATAGCCACCCAAAATGATGCGCAACATGTGGGTTTGTCATCGTAGAAGGTGTGTGCGTTGCGGTCTTTGTTTGATCACCATCATGGAGCATTCACATAATTGAGACATTGTTTTGCTGCCTCCTATTTTGCCACTAGATGTCACTGAAACAAACCTTTGAATGAATGAACCTGTTTGATACAGTTGATGAAGTGTTTTGATAATGTTCATTGCTTCATTTGGACATCAGTAGTTTAAAGTTGCGCATTTCCAAATGCAGCATATGGCGCTAACACTGTGCCCACCTACGAGGCCAGGTGAGCAGAACAACAACACCTGTAAAGGCCGCAGCACCAGTGCTCCGCGAGGCGTTCAGGGACCACAGTGAGTGTAAGTAACCCGTCTTTTGGAAGCGCTCCGAGTCCAATAAGTGTCTGATGGCAGGGCTGGGAAAAATTAACAGGTAAATTCTTCCAATTTTGTGCAATTCATTTGCTACTGTTTTGTACATATTCACATTGATCACAACATAATTTTTTATAATCATATTGAGAGGGACACTTTGATTAACTTAGGAAAAGGAGGGGCTTGAGCTCTAGAGCTCCAGCAATGTTATTCTGATGTTTTTGTAGGTCACTTTGGAGAAAAGCATCAGTTAAATAGTGTAACATAAACATCCCACACACCTATTTCATCCAACCCTTTACTCTCTTTTTTGCTTAATGGTGCTGTTTTGAAAAACATATTATATTGATTAGGTAATTGACAATGACCTATCATCCACTCAATAAAGCAAGAGCCTTAAGTGTCTTCAGGAAAGTAAAAAACGTAAAATAAAAACCCCTATCTCCAGAATACCTATGTTGTTTTAGAGATGTCAAAGTGACATGATAAGTCCCAATGGAATACCAGTCCTCTTGCGCTCAGTCGCTTACAGGTGCTGGTTAAGGCTTTGAGGATTTGGGGCCCAAGACCTTACGGGGGACTTTGAGATTCAGCTGTGGTGGAGACAGGAAGCAGCAGGGGAGGGTTGTAAATATAACTTTCAAAAGTTAACATGGCTAACGGGCTAAGAGGAGCAGTTCACAATTTATTTATAAAGTCTTTTTCCACATGTAATTTTTTTCTGTAAAATCGCAGCTTCTGTTTAATGCCTAATAATCAATTTTAATAATTATTTCAGATACATTTCCAATGTTTCTTCTTCTTCAGGGCTCTGAGACATGATGTACAGTGTGAGAGTGCCCCCTGCTGGATAAACAACACCAAAGTCTGTGTCCCAAACCATTCATTTTACACAGGATGTACTGAATACTCATCATTAGAGTCCACGTTTTCAACAGTTTGCATAAAATGATAAAGATGATGTTTGTAAACTCACAGACATGGATGGGGACCTGAAAAGGTCTACAGTCCCAATCTGATGGGAATAATACAAGCAGGGTCTTTGGCCCCTCATGGCCACCAAGTATCTTAACCTGCCAGTCACCAACAACAGAAAACAAGTGAAGTGTATTTACAACCAGTCAGAGATTGGGGGTGTACCATGAAACACATTCAGCTGATTCTAATTGACTGTAGGGCATTATTAAGGAGTGCAACAAGACCTTTGGTACAACTTTGGATGCTGTATCAACTTGTATAAAGTCAGGTCTATGAAGAAGGTCGAGTCCATCTCTGTTGACCTCAGTCATCCTTTGTTTGGAGAGTTTAAGTTGCCTCTGTCTACAAACAGCCAAGATTGCAGGACAAACAGGTTTAAAAATTCTCATCCTACCTGCCACTGGCTTCTTAAACACAGTCAGATGAGTACTGCGCCCTCTATGTTTCCTGTTATTACTGTGTTTTTGGATGCTGCTGTGGTGACTGTGTATGTACTACTGGCTGTACAAAGACTTGCCCCCTGGGGGCTAAAGGATCATCTTATCTCATTAAAAACACTGTGAACCTAGACTGAAGACACACGGAGGAAACTCTTTCAAAGATTTATTACAAAACTCAAGACAAAATGTCACCTGGGTTTATTCTATCTGCAAACACAATACAATGACGAACAACCTATCTGCAGGTGAAGCTTCACTGAACCACGAACCAAACAGAAACAAACGAACACAACATGGATCTAGATGCAGAACTCTGGACAAAGAGGGAACAGCAGCTGTAAGGCCCGACACTGAACAAACAAAAACCAGAACCCGGAGGAGGAGGAGGAGCGCACCCAGTGCTTCTTACTTTCTACGGGAGGGTTGTAGTGCGACTCCGACACTAATAAATAGGTCACCATTACATTATGCCAAGTCCAATTCACACAGTAAAATGTTATTCACAAAGTGTCCGCCACCACCCAGGGGCTCCACAAGCAGGGAGAAGTGAAGGGGGGACTCCAGGGCCCACCAACATACACAGGTGAGGTTTTTATTTTGGTGAAAGCTGGTCCATCTGTCACAGAGGGAAAACTCTGAAAATTGTCTGAGTCCCAAATCCTTAAATAAGCTCCAACTATTTATCTATTTTCACAAGGACCTGGCCAGACCGATGCTCTGTGGATTCTGAGTCTTTCACCACCGAGGGGTTAGGTATTAGGGTTAGGGTAACCCTGACGAGCCCAAACATTTCCTGAGTCCACGCTGGTTGTCAGTCAAAACAACCTTTCACATTTACTTTGTGGAATCACCTCAGTTATACTTGTACCTTCATCTTTTCAAAGAACCATTAAAACTCTTGTTCCTGTTTCGTCTTCAGCAGATGCCCAAATGTTTCCTCACTCGGTTGGAGTCTGCATCTCACTAAAAACGCCACAGAACCTCACATTTACATTTCTGTTGGTGTTGTCATACAGCAAACTTGAAATTTCTATTTGACCATTTTGGTCCAGATGTGGCCTCAGGAGAACATCTGTTTGTTGCAAAGCACCCCTTTTGCAAAAATGCCTTAATTATACTTGCACCTTCATGTTTTTATTTAACCAATGAAACAGCTCTAAACTGCTGTGCAACCATTTACAGTAAACCCAGATGTGTCACAAGCCATGAGTCCAAATTTCCTGTAAATATTTTCCTCCACTCCCATCCGTACCTTCTGAAAACCAAAACTGACAGGAAACCAGCGTTTGTACCTGCTCACGATGTTACATTGAAACCTTTAGCTTCATTCAATGAAAACACTTGAACTTTTCTTTTGTTCGACCATTCAATCCAGATGTGACCTCCAACAGATGCCCACAACCTCCAAATTCTGTTAAATTCTCACATTTACTTTGTGAAAGCAGCTGGTTTGTGTTTGAATCAGCATCTTTTCATTCAACCAAAAATTGTTTTCATTAGTCCAGATGTTTCCTCAGGCGGGCGTCCACCACGAGTCCAGATGTTGCCTCAGGCGGACGTCCACCACGAGTCCAGATGTTGCCTCAGGCGGACGTCCACCACAAGTCCAGATTTGCAATAAATATCCAAAGATTGTCACAAACCTCAGGTTTGACTTCAAAAGATTCCTCGTCTTAAACTGATTTGGAGGCTTTAACTTGACTGGATGTTTTTTCACATCTGAAGATGATGCTAAACAATGAAGGTGGCGGTGGTGTTGCTACAGTAACGTGGGCAGCTAGGCACTGCTGCCTAGACATTTCCTTTTTTTTTTAAACTTGTGAATCACATTTAAATAGCATCTATATTTATATATTACAACATTGTTCCAAATTCATAAATAAGTAGTGCAGTTTCCCCTTCAACCTCGAACACAACCACTTCACCGCTAAAACAAGAAATCCCAACGCTACCGATCAGTCATCACACATACCCAGCTGAAAAACTACAAATATGGTCGACTAGCTGCAGGTTATACTCTTCATGCATACATTAATATGGAGTTACACAGGCTCCAACTGATCGGCTCATGCGCTCAGATTTCCCATTTTAACCTTTCAAAAATATCAAAGCTACGACACAGTAAATCAATCAGAACGCTGTGCCAATAAGAACTTCTGCCAATCAAAATCACTCGGGGAGGAACAGGTGGTGACGGCGGAGGAAACAGGAGGATAACAAAAACAAAGATGAGACGAGGGAGGAGTTGCAGACCTGTACGGAGGTTTATCAATGACAAATCTTTCATCAGGTTTTATTTTCAGAAACAGATTTGACCATAATTAAACCCTGCCTTGTTCACTACCAACAAAACCAACCCCAGCTTTTACCAACATTGACAGGACGCCGGAAATTATTCACAGACAAAAAATATCTTAGAGACACATTTCTAGTTTGGTTGGAATTTTTCCTTTCTGCAGAGGAGCAAAGCGAGAAGTCAATCAAAAGATTTGGAATAAATGTTTAAATCTTTTATCAGGCAAAAACCGCAGACAACCGCAGGCTTCAGCTTCTTCAATACGAGAGTTTTTCTATTTTATATCACTGTGAAAACATCTTCAGGCTTTGTACATGAAAAGGCTATATTAATCCCTATTAATCAACAATAATGAGCTGCAGCTCTGTTCTGCAGCTGATGTATGGATGAAGATCAACACCATGTAATTATTTCAGTTTTGGAGTTGCTTCCGACTTTTTGCAAACATATCTGAATTATGAGTAAAAGAAACTTGTAAAATTAGATGACAAAGTTGAAGATTACATTCTGAGTTTCCTCTTAACTACCAAAAAAAAAAAAAATGTATGGACTGAGTGGAAAATAACCTGTGCAGTCTGAGAAAAAGTAGTGGACTCTTGTTTTCCCGATCGTCACGAATCTCAGAAAATAAACCTATGAATTTTGATAATTTCCAAAATTTTGAGAAAAACTGTAAAGTCAGAATTCTGAGACAAAGATTTTTTCTCTAAATCCTTATTTATGTCCATAATGTGACATTTTCTGTTGAGGCGGCCTCGCTGCAGCAATACAACAGTAAACCAATAAGATGCAAAGAGAGACACTGACTTGACTGCAGGAGCAGAGGGCGGAGTCCGTTTGAAAATATCTGAGGTTTGAGCCAATTGGTTGGAGTTTTTATTTAGTTACGCTGATTTACAGTTTTAATTTATTTTGAAAATTTTGGTACCTTTTATTGCAACTTTTGTCGTTAATAAACTTCCGTCAAATCAAACCAGCCTTTATTTTCCACAGAAATCAACAAACTGAACCAAAGGTGTTATTTTGTAGAGACTTAGTTTCCCAAAATGCTCTGCATGCTTTGTTCTGACCCAGTTGGACAGGCCTGAGGGCTGATGAGAAAGATGCCAGCAGGTGGGCATGGCCTGGAACACAGACCAGCAGCTGCCTCTGATTCCCAGCAACTCCCAGTGATCTCCACAGTGGGCTGATGGGAAATGGAGCTCGGAGAGCAGAATGAAAGCACACAGCATCCTAAACACTCAAGTGGGGGCGGGGCAGGGGGCGGAGTAACACTTTGAATCTAATCCCATCCTTAAGAGCAACCAGCTAACAGTCAGTTATGACCATATACAGATACGACCATATGCAGAGATCCCCCTGCCATATGACCATATATGGATGTCTTGCTGCTATCTACACCAGAGAAGAATCAACCAGTTCCATTTCCTGAAACCTGGACAACCAAACTGCTGCGAGCGGCACAGAATCTGTCCCCAACTGGTCCAGAACTGGTGGACTGGCTCAGAAGTTTTCCCATGTAAGAACTTTTCCAGAACTGGTCCCAAACCAGTCCAGAACCAGTCAGTACTGATTCAGAACCAACCCAAAACAGGTCCAGAACCAGCCCAAACCCAGTCCAGAGCTGGGCGATGTCACTCAGAGTCAGACTCCAGTGGGGCGGTCTCGTCTAAGACGGCTCTCTTTCTGCGTTTGGCGGCGGCAGCATGGACCCGCTGCTCCTCCTCCAGGTGGGCCTTTTTGTGGCGGGAGAAGCTGGACGAGTGCATGAAGGTCTTGTTGCAGGCTCCACAGGTGTAGGTCTTGGTCTTGGCAGCGGGGAGTCCAGTCTTGGTGTGGAGTTGCTTCTGGTGTTGCTGCAGCTTCCCCCGCCCACCGCCGTCCCCTAACTTGTGGGTCTGCTGGTGCCGTGCCAGGCTGGAGGCGTGG